GTGAATTAGGTATTAATCAATTTTGTTTAGAAATGATTTACATTGTGAAACTCATAATAGCCCCCACAGATGTAGATAATGCTGTCAAATTCATTTGTTTCCTTAATATCAAAGTCCACATATCTTTTATGTTTGTAGCATTTTTATATACAAACTCTCAAAAATTTCACAGAAAAGAGTCTAAAAATATTGCCTTTGTTTTGAAGGAGAGTGAACCTCATCGAAAATGAATGTATTGTTATTGGCAATAATAAACATTTTTTTTTTTTTGAATTTGTACTATTTTTGGTTTTCCTATTCATATTCAACCATTCACAATTGCATTGACTCTAATAGATAGATTAACATATGGTGACTCTTAACTTAAACAAGCCATGGCTTAAAAGCTCTGCATTCGATAATTGATTGGCATGTTCATAGAGCAGCTCAAGCCATAAATAACAACAAAGTAAACAAACAAAAAAGAGACTTTATAGCACAACTTTAGGATCACATTGAACAAGGCAATTGAGAAATGGATTTAGCTTCATTTGACCGACGTAATTGGGAGTTGCGGCACAAATGCTACACTAATTATATTTTAATATCACTTTTAGTATATCATTTTATATGTCAACACATTATTGATGTAATAGGTCTCATAACTCATGATTATTTTCAAAACAGTGGTGGCACATGAGGTGATACATCAAAGATGGTTTGTGTAATTTTGCTCATCAGAAATGCAATGAATCATGGCATGTTGTCCTGAAATTTAAGCTAAAAGTAAGGTGTACATTGTAGAATTAAAGTTTATCGAAGGTGGATCATCCAGTTTGATTGTTGTTCATAGATAATTTGTCTAAGTATGTAATAATGTTGGTTGAAATGATAAAAAAAAAAAAAAAAAAAAAAAAAAAAAAAGAAAAACAAACCAAAACAAAACAAAGCCAATGCATCACATCAAATAGGATCCACACACAAATTAGAGCTATTAGAGCTCTCTCCCTAGCGCTCTCAAACATTTCTCTTTGTAAAAATAGAAACTCACACATTAAACATAAAGCCCAAACGGTAGAATGATTACCATTAAATGAATTTATATCTCCTCTTTATTGTTGCATGCCTTGTCTACTTGAGTTGAATTTGAAGAACTTCACCATTACTTGATTGTTGTAGGCCTTGTCCACTTAGCTAAATTTGATTAACATCACCATTAATTGAATTTGTACCTTGTCTACTTGTTTTGGATTTGAAGAAATCTTTAATCTGTGGCCAAACATTTATTCCTTTGTTGGTCTTCAACCACCAATTTATGACGCGAATTGTGTGAGCTATGAGGAGGCTCACCATCACACAGCACCACACTATGGCTCCAACTACAATTGTATGAAAAAGTGGTTCCCTTTCCCCTTTTGGAGAGACAACTACGATCGAAAATGCATAAGTAAAAGCAATTGATGTAATTGTCACCCACATGATCACGACCAGAAGCCACATGAAAAACTTTTTCTTGAACGGCCACCCAGTTATGAGCAGTAAGATTGTACTCACAGATGCAACGAATCCTGTCGTGTTAGCACGAATGAAATACGGATATGTATTTGGATAGTTATAAGCCATTATAGCTTCCCCTGCTCTATGTAGAGCTGCATTGTCTGGCCAGAAACCTCCTGGAGGATTTATCCCAGCTTGGAAAGCCATTGTCGCGATAAGTGATGCCACGACCATTAATATGTCTCGTTTTTTTGACAGCCAGTCACCTTGAGAAAGATCTTTTGCTTGCATTGCTTTCACTTTTCGAAAGGAGACTTTAATGTCTTTGAATTCCTGCTCATTTTTACTGTCTGTTGCCGTTGTCCGTTCGCTAAGCTAATCAGAAGGTGCTTCTGTTGTAGCTGGTAAAAACTGTCGTACCTTGGGAAATAGACGCCGGCGTACCTCTAGCACCCAACGGTGAGGCGGCGAATCTATTTTAAGGAGACTGTGGTATCACACAGGCTTCAGTTTGCTTCCTTTAACCATTTTATATTTTATTTTTATTTTATTCAGCATGTTATTTTTCCTGTGATTGAAGATTTGTTTCGTTCATCTCATAATTTTGCGATATGCAATGTGAAATTATGTAATGTGAGTAGTTTTTCCTAACACAGACTAGATAGTTGACCATGAACCCTTTTAACTTAGAGAGAGAGAGAGAGAGAGAGAATTAACAACCCAAACTCAGATCTCAGTTCTGATCCAATGCTCCTAGCATGATATCTCCTCTTTAGGAACATAGTACAAGGTAGTCAGTGCACTAGTATCTCGAACAAGCTCCACCACTATAGTCATAGAAAGAAATTTCTACACTCTATCCTGTGTCATTAATGTTACATTTTCTCGCAGACAATGTGTCACCCAAAGATATAAGGTGTATTCAAATTGCAAACAAAGTAAGAAGTTTCTGTCCAAACTCAGATAACTATTTTCCAGTTGAAAAATCTAGGATTAGAAATATAATATATTAAGTCTTTCATGGAAATAAACACAAAATCAAAGAGACATTTTTGTAAATTACCTGATCTGCTACTGCATATAATATTGCAATTATACATGTCATTTTAATAAACGAAATTTGTAATTCTTACGAAATTTTTATCAGAATTATGTAACATTTATTGTTATGTAATTAAATGTCATTTTAATAAACGATTTAAAATAATAAATCTTGCCATAGGCACATTATTTTATATATAAATTCAAAAGTAAATAAACTGGTTAAACAAATCTAAAATTTTATATGCTATTATTTTTGCCATAGGCACATTACTTTATCTAAAATTGAGGAGATTATTCAAAAGTAAATAAACTGGTTAAACAAAGATAAATATCTAGAAACAATCCACCTTAACTGTTATTAAAAGTATATACGAGGGGTGAAAAAGGACCAAAACACCAAAATAAGAGACAAAGTATTCATCAAGTACATCAAACTATAGTATCAGGACATACCTGAGTCATCATTTCTGGCCGAATTGACTGTTGAAGCACGCAGAGAGCACCATTTTACCATGACCAGAACAGCACACTTGAAAAGTACACCCAAATGAAAACAACAAAGGCTACCATTTTTTTTTCTTGATAAGTAAGAAAGGTTACCATATTACAAATGTACAAAGCAATAAACCATTAGAATTGTATGATTTGCTGCTTTAGAAATGTCAGTCCAGTATGGATTAATAAGAAGCAAAAAATAATAATTTCAAAAAAGAGTTTCAAATAATAGCATTTAATAGCAACTGTACTCAATAACATGTATAACCAGACAGCAGAAGCATGATCAAATTAATGCCCTAAACCTTATTATTAGCATCAAGTTTGAAGAAATAGAAACCAACCAATTCATAGTTACTTTGCTTAGCAATTCCCACCGCATTTGGATCAGCATTAATCCTTAAACCATAAGAGAAGTCCTTTATAGGACCAACATTAATCAGTGAATCTCTCACTGAAAATGAGAAAGTCTTCTGCATGGATCAAGAAAGCATAACATTACTAGAAAATAAATAATAAGACGATAAACAATGTAAACAAGCTGCTAGATTAAAGATAAAAGCCAAAATACAAACTCCCTAGAAGACAAATCAATTTCACTATAAAGTAAAGGTTGGTAAAGCTGCAAAAGATGAAAAATAAAGAAAGAATGACAGGTGCATGATGTGAATCCATGTTACAATAGCAACATAAAACACATCAAAATGACACGGACATACTGAAATAGCAAATTCTAATAAAGTAAGACTTGGGCACAGGAAGAGAGTGCAGAATTTAGGACGTTTTTTTAAAGGTATATGTATTTCATATAGACAAATCTATAATTTTTGTTGATTTGTTCAAATTTCTAAAACAAAATTTGCACAAAAAAAAAAAAGATAGAAAGAAAAGCAGAAAACTCAACCTATATCACTTTAAATCAATGGGTTCCTACTCTTTCCACTATTACAGATTTTTTGCTTACAACTGCATTCTTTTCTATTTTATAAAATAAAATAAAAAAAAATTGTTTATTGCATGCTTGTCGTGCTTTGACTATGCATAAAACTTAAAATTTCTCTTGAATTTGATCTGGATAATTCTGGGCCTCTGTCAAGGCTTAGTTTGGTTTGATTTGGTTATTTCGGGATCTTGGTATCATGTTTCCAGAATGCAGAGTATCTTGTCCCAAACAACATGGTTCCTCTTAATACAACTTCATGCCACACAAATCGGGGCAAACAAATACTCACAACCATAACGTTTGCTGAACACTCAAGACAAAAATTTCAAGAAATTTGGATGACTAGGAAGGAATATATCAAGCATCTCCATTCAATTTATTCCCAAGTGAGCACCCAGAACAGAGTTAGTCCACAGCACAATTCACACTACTTTTAGGCTGATCTTAAATTGACTAGGTGAATAAAGATAACCCTTTTTTTTTCTTTTTTTTTTGGTGGAGCTGTTGTACAAAAATCACATATGTTGTAAGGAAAAATAAATGCCATATTATTCATTGCAAGATTGATGTCCATTGTCCATCATTTATCCCTCACTGGCATCAATTCAACCTATTCTCTCATCATTTATCCTTTTTTTACTTTATCTCCTCAATTTATTTTATATATAAATTCAAAAGTAAATAAACTGGTTTACATTATTTTAATTTGGCCCAACGCCAAAAATAAGGTTTAGCTAAGTTAACACTTTTACAGATCAATAGCATAACCTTAAACCATAGTGCATATGTTTCTAAAATGTTTGTCAAAAAATAAATTCATTCATCAATTCTAACTTCTGAGAAAACAAATCCAGCACCACATGCTCTCTGATCCTTTTCTGCAGTGTTCTTAGTGAACTGCAGTACATTTAAATCAAGATGTAGAATCAATAGTTGCACTCAAATATAGCATGACCACAAACATAGCAGCAAAGCAACAAAAGAAAACATGTCATCTTCAAATGAAAAATATTTATTAGAATCATCTACAAAGGCACCCGAGGGAAAAAGGATTACTGAAAAAGACTTACCTCCCTCTCTGCATCAATGGTTTTGCAAACAAATGTTGAACCAAATACACATTCCATAGCACTCTGCAACACATATAAACTCTCCTTAAAAACAAAATATAACTAACCCAAGCCAAAGTTCTTTTATCCAACCAAAAACAAAATCGCACGAATGTGAATAAGATTTTGGCCCATCCATTGGTGATGAACATGACTTACAATGATATAACATTAAGAAACATTCCAGCACACACAATTGAATTATACCTTCAGTTCCTGATCGTATCCAACCAGAGACAGAGCCAGTTCTGCATTCCCCTTGCCAACCTAAAAATGTAGGATAATAACCTTCTGACAAACACAAACAAATACGAGAGATACAAAAATATAATGAAAGCCAAATACAGAGACAAACCAATCTAACAGAAGACCAAAAATAGATTGAAAAAATTGAAAATAGTTAGATTGAAAAACAAAAAGATCAAAGTGAATGAGATTCTATTGAAAAGAGAGCGGACCAAAAATAGCAAAGGAAAAGATTAAAAAGAGTAAAATTCGAATGAAAAGAGGCCAGATCGAAGATCTGATGGAGCAATAGAGAGAGAGAGGACTTGAGGGATGGTAGCGACGGGAGAACCAAACCTGAGGAGGAGCTTCAACAGGTAGAGCGCATCCAATGCCATAGCGCTTGAGCTTTTCTTGGAACAGAAAAGCCTATCATTTCATCGGTTGGTTTCCTTTTGCTCCGATTGGATTGGTCTCAATCACGATGATCTTGATCCTTCTTCATTCCTCGGTCTCGTAACCCCGCCGATTTGTGCTACTCAACCGAACCATCTTCCTCTACAAAATCATCAGAATCAGAATCAAGAAAACCAAAAAACCATCAAGAAATTTCAACAAAATCGGTGCAAGAATCGATGGATTTAGAATTAGATCTGAACCCTAGTGAATCTCTCAAGGAGCATGAGCAGGTAGAGAAAACCCTAGATCTAGGACGGAGATAGAAAACGATGGAGAAAATGGAGAGAGAAAACAAAATGATGGAAAGAGAAATGGGGGCAGAGGGAGACGGAGCACCGTTATAAAGTGAAACACGCGTGTTTTTAATTTCACTTTAGCTCTTGCACAGCGTTTTTCAGAAAAACGTTGTCTAAAAAACGTGGTTATAGGCCAATTTTGTTGTAGTGTGAGTGGATTGATAGATTGAAGAATGTTCTAACCAATTATCAAACATTTGCATAATATATAACACTAATTTATATAATATTTTTCATATATATAATGTGTGTGTTGTTTTCTGACCACACTGCCAAACAAGTACTCAGCTAGAGAACACCAGTAGAATAGATTGAGCCCGAACGACCTGTCACAGAAAGATAAGACTCCGGCGGTGGTTCGTCCACCCGGGGACACTCCGACGATCAAGTCAATACTCAGTTATCTCTCAAAGATAATAATTAGTACTTAACTCACTAGCCAGAATACAAAAAGCGTACTTTAGACCCACGAAGGTGCCTTACTTTTATAGCCAACACTGACATGATCTCTGTAGAAGCCTAGCTTCAATGGACTCTAGTTCAATGCTTATTCTGGACTCCCAATTAGATAGAGATAAACTCTCTAAGAGCTTTATCTTTATCCATACTGAGGTCCTCCCCTATTCTAGGACTCTTATAACTTATCCGTTTATCCCGGACTCCGACATCTTCGCAGATAACCTTGGCCTAGCCGAGATCATCTCGGCATCATGTCCAGGACACGTGGCACCTCGGCTGGCACTTCGGTGCCATCCTGGCCACGTGTTGCTACTCACAAAATATGTCCCCACAACTGCCCCCTAGGTTTTATTACCTCGGCATCCTGAGGTGATAGATCCTATATCATTTGAACCTATAGCACGTCGGCTAAACTTGCTCTATCCTTCATTTCTGAGGTCATCATTCGTCGGCTTCATATGACCAAGACTTGTAGTCTGTTTAGAACCAAGGACCAACTTTTCCAAGTTTCTTTAACCGAGATCGTTCCCTTAGCCGAGGTCTTTGCCTCATTAAATCAAGAACTCCAAGAGTTTCAACACGCGTATGAGCTGTCACGCACAGTAATTCAACCGTTTTCGCCACGCGTCCTTTCCCTATTGAACCGTACCTGATATGCTCCATCAAGTTGCGTCGCATTTGCGTGCGCCGCCTGACAGACACATCATCCTAGGCACACTAATTGTGTTTTTGCCGTCTTTTCGTGTTTTGATCATAAACACTTCCCTCTCTCTTCGTCGTTTCACTTTTGTATTTTCATCTTCTCCAAACTTTCTCTTTCTAACACTTATCTCCCAAATCCTCCATTTTCATTCTCTCGAAGCTTTCTGCAACTGCTTTCATTCTCCCCCTCCGGTGAGGCATTCACCGTCTTGTTACTTGTTCCACTGTCATTCAACTTCGGCATTCATTTCATCGGCGTCACTCTTCCTGGTAAGCCACTGCTTCTCTTCGTTTCAATTTTTTGTTTTACTTCAAACTTTGTTATGCTTGTATACTGCCATTGCAAATCTGTTCATGCTCTTCAATAGTCATTTGTGTGTCGAATTCCACCATTCGTCATCTGTTTCATGATTCTATTTTTGTACAATCTGTTGCTGGTATACACACACACACACATGCTGTTTATATATTTGACGTTCTTGATAGCTTGTCACTGTTCTTGATTTTGCTTTCTAGGTTCTAAACCAAATACATACTTGTTATTCTACCACTGTCCTTGGCTTTGTATATCTATACATGTTTTGTAAAATGTTTTTGAATTCTTGTTTGTCTTCTTGAGTCTGAATCATGTTCTTGTTTCTGTTTTCTTGTTGCATTTTGCCAGATTCTTGCCTCCAATTTCCTGTTTCCACATACATTTTAGGCTTGGGTTTTGATAGAAGCCACTATCCCTAGGAAAATTTGAACAAATTTCCCTAGATCTTAAAAAGTCCTTGCCCTTGCTTCTGTTATGAGTTTAAGTCGAGGTACCTTAAACCTTAACAAACCACTTCCTTCTGAAATCCAACACCTTCCCTATTTAGCCGACGTTATGGGTATGTTCAGGTGAAGGGTAGACACCCCAACTAAGCTAGAATACTTTAGGCAGGAGTTTGCCATCCCTGCCGACGTTCATCTCAGGTTGGCTGGAGAGGAGGATTCTATCATGTTGACATCCTCTTCCGAGAAGTCATTCACTACTATAAACTTAACCCGATGCAACTAGCCATTAACTCTTATCAAGTCATAAACGGTATAATTGCTTTAGCTAGCCAAGAAAACGCTAGGGTAACTCTAGCCAACATCCAGTACTACTACACCATGTGTGGCCTTAAGTTAGAAAAAAAGTTACATTTACTACCTTAAGCCGAGATTCACAAAATACAAACTCGTCGCCGACCTCCCAAACTCCAACAAGGGTGCTGGAGACGATTATTTCATCGTCTCGGGCAACTGGGAGTTCCCTCCAGAGGATGACCTTCACCTCTACCCTTTAAGCCATATAGTGTTCAGAGAGGGAGATGGTAAGAGCCAAGTGTCACTTTCCTTGCTTTCAAGTCTTTATTACTGTTATTCCTCTTATATGTTCTAATGGTTTGTTGTTTACTTTGCAGCCCTTCCTCAGCCACCCAAGGACTTCTGCAAATCCTTCGACCCAAGCAAAAAATTCAGGAGGCTACTGGACTTGCCTGTTAATCAGCGCAGGGCTCCTCTGCTCCTAAATTACATCCCAACTTATAAATCCGTCCTCCCCGACGTCCCAAAGAAAAGAAAGTCTCCTCCTTTTGCTATAACTCCTCAAGCCGAGTCATCATTAAGGCCTGACCAGGGATTAACTTCTGACCCAACAGAACAACCATCAACCTCTGCTCCACAAATGATTCCACCTTCTCAACGCCGATGCCGACGCTGACGTCGAGCTCCACTACTCGCACCAGTAGGCAGGACTCGTAGCCGAAGACGCCAAAGTGCCGAGACGTCCTCTTACGATCCAGCCAACCTATCAACTGTATTTCTAGCGATCCACCTTGACATTAAAGTTACTGTTGCCATTACCGCCGACGAAATGGGGCGACAAAAGGCCATTGCTGAAGACCTTCTTGCCGACATCCCTAATGTCGTCACAGTTCAGTCTTCCCCTTCCCAGTCTCAACCCAAACCGAAGCCAAAGAGGCTGAAGAAAGCCCAAGCCAAGGCAACGATGACTCAGATCGATTATGAGGCCACCTTGCCAATCTCAAAAATGGTTGAGGCAGAAAAAAGTGTCTCTGCTGCTGAAAAGAGGCCCGCAGAGGCTGCTTTCTCCGAATCCACCTAGTCAAAGAAGCCGAGGTCAGAGTCTGCTACAACCTCGGGGTCCCTGAAATCTGATGCCCCTTGGGCCCCTCCAATCACCATCGAGAACAAGCCAATCAGAGTCGGCAACAGCGCGACTAACATTGAAGTTGGCGTTACCCTCTCTACTGCCTTGCTCATTCCCAAAGACCTCGAACGCAATGTCGAGGTCAGTGAATACGAAAATTTCACCCTGATGTTGCAGCACTCTGTACAAGTAAGCCCCTAATACTTGGTACTCTTTGTTTTTTCCATACTTAGAGAGTTTTATTAACTTTTGTTTTTTCCATTTCTTCTAGGCGATCCAGCACGCCCACTCCTTCGCGATACAAGCCTTCGACATTAAGAAGCAGTTGACCCGCAAGACTAAGGAGGCCATTGGCTTGCTCAAGACCATCAATAAAGCCGAGGCCAAGATGAAGACATTGATAGATCAGGCTAAGGTAGCCAAACAGGCCCAAGACGAGGTCGATGAAAGCTGAGACTGTCGCTGAGGTCCTCAAGGTCGAGAAGAAAGATGCCGAGGCCAAAATAATCGAAGCCCAAGCCAAACTCCGAGATGCCTTGGCCACTAAAGTCGCCGAGATCAAAGCGGCGGACGAGAAGGCCTATGCTGAGCGGGCAGCCGACGTTCGCGAGGACTACAAAAAACAAGTCAGAGAGATATGCAACAAGGGTTTCACCCTTAGTTGGATGGCCGCTCTGAAGGAGTTGGCTATCGCCGAGGACTCTCCTCTGAGGGACGTAGGCCGACTTGTGCTGCCATTCCCATCCACTTCAAGCTAGTCTGAGGCTAAGCTGGGGAGGAAGAAGAAGAAGAAGAAGAAGAAGAATGAGAGGAAGCCGAAGACGACGAGGCCGAAGTGGCTGTTGCTGAAGATCCTGCTGGGGCCAAGTCCCCAACTCTGAATAAGTAAGTCCTAGACTTGACTCAGGATGAAGAGGGCGAGGTCTCAAAAGGTGCCTCCCCCAAGAAGACAACATCCGAGGTGCCAATCACCGAGAAGAGTATTGATCAGACTCTACGAGAGATCGATGCCGAGCTCGAGGTTGAGAAGGCTACCGAGAAGATCCCCAATTATCTTCTGGGGCCGAGACACAGCCCGCCACCAACGCTGAGTAGTCTTACTATAATCTTTTTCTTTGTACTTAATAATTTTCTGAACAATGTTTTCAGTTTTCATAGTTGGCCGATGTGCCGCTTTTGTAATCTGAACAAGTAGTCTCTTTGTAGACCGAAGTACCCTTTTGCTTCTTTTAATGCAAGTACAATTTCTTCTTTCAAGTGTTTGTATGTTTTCATACTTAGAATAATTTGCATGTCTTCAAGGTACACCTTAACTGTGCAATTTCCTTGGGGTAAAATACTTTAGGGATAACTGTTGACTGTTTATCTCGGCCACGGCTTAATACTTTGAAAATATTTTTTTCACAAGTGCTTATTTAAAACCTGCCACTTCACTTTCACTTATCGAGACTTCTGTCTTCCATTATCTTCCAAGTCTTATCAACATGGTAATCTCGGCAAGTACTTAGATACTTCTTTCAACATAACATTGGCTTAACTTCAACTTGTAACTTTTCTTTAAAACATTTCAACAAGTGTTAAACCAACCTTTTTTCAACATAACCTTGACTTAACTTCGACTTGTAAATTTTTAAAATTTCAACAAGTGTTAAACCAACTTTAGCTTGTAAATTCTAACTCCCAAACATTATTGTC